GGGGGAGTTTGTCTCGTCCCGCGAATGATTCCAAGAAGAGGAAGGGCCCGCCTTCCAGCGATAAATGGTACACGTAAATCTCGCTCGAAGTGCAGATCTGCAAATGAATTTTCGGTCCCATCTCATGCTTTTTTATGCTCCGCGATGCAACAAAATCGACTCAGAAAATAAGGAAAAAAATACATCCCCCCCGGGGAGAAATTGAAATACCGGGGGGGGGATTTTTTTTGGTCGAAAATGATCTAACCCGGGGTTAAATGGAAGAAAACATGCTTCCAGGCCGAAAAGGTGATGGGGGGGAAACTCCGACGTTTACGGTTAGATATTGAGTGTATCCATACATAAATACATATCTCACCTGTAGTCTGCGTGCTGGGTTTGGGTGTTTTTGGCTCCTTCATGAGGTTTGAAGGATTTGTAAGCCCTAAGAAATAATGATTGAACCGCGTTTTTTCTGATACAACTAGAACGAACGGCAAAGGCGTGTACAATACGCAGTCTGTGACCGTTGGTGGGAGGGTCGAGTGAACCCTGTCACGTGTTTTTTGTGTCGCGTTGTTCGTCGCTGGTCCCGCTTCTTGCTGCCTTTCACAGGTCTAGAGCCGTCCGTATCTTCTCTTTCTCTGTCTCTCTCGAAGGACAATAACCGTCCGCGTAGTCAGCGCCATGCCCGCTCGACTCTGCTCTGCTTGACGCCGGCTGCTCCGTTCTCGTTCTGTTGCTGGTTGGATCAGATCCATCAATGGATCATGCCGCGACCACCGACGGGGGGCGGGTTGTTGGCAGTCTTGATTGCGTGGACCCCCCGAGCTTCTGGACCCGACGGCGTGCGTACTCCAGCACTGGCGACAGAGACTCGTGCTCCAGCGACGAAAACGCCTCCAGAACTCATACTACAGAACCTTTTTTTTGAAAGCGAGAACCAGCACAACAGCAGAACCAGCACAACAGCAGCACAGAGACGTGGGACGCTTCCTCTGACCGCCGTTGCTGCAACCTGTGCCCAGCTAACCATTTGGTGTGGTCCTGATCTATCTGGACGTACGTGTAGATTAGTTCTGTTCATGTGCTTGTACAACTGCGGTTGTTGTTACACTGCTCTGCCCCATCTTCAGGAGAGCAGCACTTCGAACTTTTTAAGTACGACGTGCGTTACACGCGTCAAGTCTTTCTGCTGCAACAAAACTACTGCTGCTACTACGACCCCATCCAGCCGAGGCTAGCTACCACGCACGAAGGCCACGACACACACAAAAGAAAAAGTGATCTGTACCAAGTGTTTTTGTGTTTGTTTTCCTCGCTTGTATACTGTTTTAGTGTTCGGCATTTCGTTATAGCGCAACACCGCAGCCCTCATTAGCTTCCTTCGTTTGGTTTTTGGGGTTGAAGGGAAAAGAACAAGGTTGAACCAAAGTTAGAGACGGCCGCTGTCCTTATTATGGAGAGGCGTAGTGCGCCGTTGCGGTGTGCACTACATGAAAAAAAAGCACACTGCTGTGGTCCTCGTAATTCCACGACGACCGCGTTGACTCCCGGGCTCCCGGTGAACACAAAGCAGAGCCGTGGTGGCAAGAACGCTTCATGGTGTGCACCATGTCGAAAACAAAAAACACTTCGGGCATAGTTCCGTCCACGTTTGAACTCCTGGTCAACACAAACATGCAGGCACTCGCAACGCAGGACAGGTCAACGCAGGACAGATCGAGAGATAAAGGACAGCATTCAACGAGCACAGAAAATAATATATTGTGCTCTGGCGAAGGTGCAACAACACCGCAACAACAGCAGTCCCATGCGTTGGTCATGTACTACAGGTACTCTTTTCCAACGCACCAATAACCTGCGCGAAGGACGTAAAAGAACGGGAAGTTGAGGCTGCTATCCCCCCTCCCCGCTAGCCACCCTAATAGCCGGCTGTGTTTTGCCTAGTTGAACCGTGTACCGACGGTACAATGAAGACCCTAGCAACGCTATACGCAGACCACAAACAAAAGCACGGGAGCGCGCACGCGAAAGGGAGGGACGCCACGCGCCGATTCAACCATTCGTGCTAC